TCTCTCATCGATGTTTCTAACTCTCTATCCCTCTCCCTTCCTCTCTGTAAAAAATCAATAAAATATATTTTTTTAAAAAATAATTGATGATGATGATAATGATGAAGATGAGGCTGAAAAAGTAGAAACTGACAGTAGCTGGAGATGAGATGGGTATGGGTGTTGGGACATGCTGACTTGGCTGTTGGATATGAGGGGCCTTCCAGGAAGGGCTAAGCTAGGATATGGCCCAGAGGATGGGGAGGAGGGGACTGTGTGGCCTGTATGGCCTGAAATAGCTCTCGGTAACCTGAGGAATTGGCAGTCAGGACTTGAACTGGAGTCACGTGCCTGGTTCTGGCTCTGAAGTGGAGGTGAACAAGGGGGTTGCCAGCCAGGTTCTTTGGGCAGCTGGAAGGAGGAGGAAGGGCGAGAAGAGTTATTTTTAATATTATTCAGAGCACAGAAAGAGGATTTCCCAGTAGGGAAAAAAGGAATATGATGTAGGTAACACAGATACTTCCAGGGCTCGAGGAGATGCACAGGTTGGGGAGAAGGAGGCCAGAGGTGGTGGCAAAGCCCTCTCATGTGGACAGTCCTACTGGATTCAACTACTGAATTTATATTTGGGTGAATCTAGGCCAGTGATGGCGAACCTTTTGAGCTCGGCGTGTCAGCATTTTGAAAAACCCTAACTTAACTCTGGTGCCGTGTCACATATAGAAATTTTTTGATATTTGCAACCATAGTAAAACAAAGACTTATATTTTTTATATTTATTTTATATATTTAAATGCCATTTAACAAAGAAAAATCAACCAAAAAAATGAGTTCGCGTGTCACCTCTGACACGCGTGTCATAGGTTCGCCATCACTGGCCTAGGCAAATGCCTGCCTCTCTTTAAGACTGTTTTCATTCTTCTAACAAATGTTGATTGAAAACTCACCATTGAGTACAGCACTATACCACCCGGTTTGGAGATAGAAACTTAAAAGTAATGGTGTCTATTTTGGTGGAGCTTAAAACTTAGTAGAAGAACACACATATACACATGAAACAACTAGTGAATGTAGGATACATGATACTTTTACGTGACATTAATATTGAGGGATGGGTTCAATCAGGAGGGTCTTCCTGGAGGAGATGTGTTTTGAGCCAGTATTTGAAGGAAGTTATCACTGCAGAACAATGGGGAAATGGCAAGAAATTGGTTGTTCCAAGTACAGGAAATTAACTAAGAAAAGTTTAAGGGGGTGGAGGGGGCAATGGAGGGATAAGGACACATATGTAATACCTTAATCAATAAAGAAAAAAATTAAAACAAAAATAAATAAAAATAAAATATAAAAAGAAGTTCTACAAGTCACAAGAGAAGATAAACAACCTTAGAGGGAAATGAGCAACAGACTTGAACAAGACTTTCACAAAAGTAAGTATTCAGGTGATCTGTGTACATATGGAAGGATGCTCATCTTCAGTAATAGGAAAATGTAAATTAAAACCACAATAAAATACCATTATTTACCAAAAAAAAAAGAAAGAAAGAAAAGTTTAAAAGACAGTAATTAGCTAATCTAGTTAGTAGGGTACAACAAGCAAATTGACTTGGCAGGCCTATTGTACCTTGGGGATTGTGCAGCAAGGTACAATATAACAAGGTACAATATAACATTATGACCTCAATGTTAATGAGGTCACAGTTCAGTCATGTTTCCCAGTCAATTTCTGTCTTTTATCTGGCCTGATCCTGCCTTCTCACTTGAAGCAGCTGTCTCACATGTGTAAACCCTTAGTCAGAGGGTGTGGGACTAGACAAGAAAGTGGGGTTGGAAATGTTGTAGGCAGTTAAACTGACATAAGCAGAGCAAGGGCAGTGGGCCAGGTACAGAAGTTCACCACGATGGAAAGCCCCAGGTGCCTAGCAACCGACAATTAGTTGTAGGGTGGGACCTGCACGCTGGGTGACTTTTCCTCCTCTAGCATAAAGCTCGCTGGTCATGCATTTGGACCCCCTGACCTTTCCTCCCTAAGTTAACATCTGTGCCTCAGTTATATTTCAACTCCTGGCCCAGGTAAGTAACAAACCCAGCTACAGCTGACATCAGGACCAGTTGCACTGAATTATGACCCCTGTCCTGGAGGCAGCCAATCAATCAGTGGAGACCACAGCGCTGAATGGACACACCTGGAAAGCTACTGAATATTCAATTAAGATCTTTCTCTGGGACCTCCCCTAAAATCTCCGCCCTTAAGACCCTCAGGACAGAGGGTCCTCCGTGATCTTCCTCCCAGGAGTAAGCCGGCGCCTTCCCCTTCCTCCCCTCCCCCAGGCACCATTAGCTTCCTCACTCCAAAGCTCCAAGGGCCCTTCCTTTACCGCTAGAACTTGTTTCCGAAGCCCATTTCCTCTAGGAATTACTTCTTCTACCTCTGTGACTTACCCAACAAACATTCTCTTACAGTTTGGGTCTGGATTCTGAATTCTTTCCTAGCCAGAACCCAGCCAGAACCCAAGTACCGAGGTTGCCGGACCCAGGTTTGGTCTGACCCCGCTGGTCAGACACCTGGTGCCTTTCCTGCCGCCTACAACAGAAAAGGTCACATGCCCACTGAGTGTGACTCCAGAATACCATCTCTGAACGAACGGGAAGGAGGTACTGTATCCTGCTGGTTGGGGTGGAAGTAAGGAGGGAAAAAGAAGGTATGTTAGCAAAGAAAAAGAAATGAGATCATTCCCAAACGTGGGGCTTTATATATATACATATAAAATAAGGATTAGAGCCCTAACCGGTTTGGCTCAGTGGATAGAGCGTCGGCCTGCAGACTCAAGGGTCCCAGGTTCCATTCCGATCAAGGGCATGTACCTTGGTTGCGGGCACATACCCAGTAGGGAGTGTGCAGGAGGCAGCTGATCGATGTTTCTAGCTCTCTATCCCTCTCCCTTCCTCTCTGTAAAAAATCAATAAAATATATATTTTTAAAAAAAGGATTAAAACACCTTCCTTACAAAATGGTAACTAAGCCAGAGTTCAAAGAGAGGAGTCCTGCTCAATAAATTCCATATAAAATGGGCTCAAACTTTAAATCAATCCAGATTCAGTGGAAAGCCCAAAATAAATGTCAATCTCAAGGAGTGGGGGGAGTTGGAGGGTTTATATCTGTTTCAAAGCCTCTGTTTCTGGGCAAGATTTCTCTTTTCCATGTGAATTAGATCTAAAAGGCAACACAGTCTTTAATTATTTTACCTGCCCCCCCCACCTCACCCCACCCACATAATACTACTCATACAAAGCTTTCCTGAATGTGAAGAGCGTGACTAAAGATTCAGAAAGCAGAGGAGTAGTATAAATACTATCTTTAATTGTATCAGCAGGCACCACCATTCTTATTTTTTTGTTGTTAATCCTCACCTGAGGATATTTTTTCCCATTGGTTTTTAGAGAGTGGAAAGGAGGAATGGGAGGAGGGAGATAGAGGAGAGAGAGAGAGAGAGAGAGAGAGAGAGAGAGAGAGAGAGAGATGATTGCTTCCTGCACTCGCCCTGGCTAGGCTGGGAATCAAACCCATGACCCTCCCTTTGGTGCACGGGGCCCATGCTCTAACGGTTAGAGTCTAACCACTTAACACCGGCCAGAGCGGGCACCACTATTCTTTTTATTTTTTTAAATATATTTTTATTGATTTCAGAGAGAAGTGAGAGGGAGAGAGAGAGAGAGAGATAGAAACATCAATGACGAGAGAGAGAATCATCAGTCGGCTGCCTCCTGCAAACCCACATGGGGATCGAGCCCGCAACCCTGGGCTTGTGCCCTGACGGGGGGATGGAACCGTGACCTGGTTCACAGGTTGATGTTCCACCACTGAGCCCCGCCAGCCGGTGCTCCTCCCACTTTTATCACGAGCATTTCCCCTTGTACCACGATGGGAAGCTGTACAGCGACCTTTCATTGCCTGGGTTCCCCTGCCCATGAGGGCTCACCTTTCATCAAACGCATATTTTTCCAGACAAAGATGGATCTCTCTCCTAGAAGTAAGTCTGATTCTCTCCACCTCGACTTCTTTGAATACATATTAAAGGAGAAAACTATGCAAACACTTTGCCCAGAGCCTGGAACATTCATTTCCTTTCTCAAGGGTTTTAAGCACAGTACTAAGAGCTGCAGTGACTACAAAGATGAATAGAATTTATGGAACTAACTATAAGCAAGGTGGAATATGATAAAGAGTGGTTCTCAACCTTCTCGCCCTTTAAATACAGTTCCTCATGTTGTGACCCAACCATAAAATTATTTTCGTTGCTACTTCATAACTGTAATGTTGCTACTGTTATGAATCGTCATGTAAATATCTGATATGCAGGATGGTCTTAGGCGACCCCTGTGAAAGGGTCGTTCGACCGCCAAAGGGGTCGCGACCCACAGGTTGAGAACCGCTGCAAGAGATCCACAGGTATCTGCTGTTGACACGCCCACGACATCATCCTGGCGCTTATGTGTCCGGAGGGTGGCCTGAGACTGGCCAGGTCGTGGGCCGGCGACTCTGCGCCACGGGACCACGTCTGCAGCGCCTCGCGCACCCGCCGGGGCTCCTGCCAGAGGGTGGAACTACATCTCCCGACAAGCCGCCTGTCTCCTTGCTTCCTCCCTCGCCCGTCCCGAGCCATGGCAACCGCGTGACGTGAGGGTGCAGGGAGCTGCAGGAGCAGCGGTCGCGGCTTTCAAGGTTAGCTC